CTGGTTTAATGGCAGATTTCCTCTCACGGCTGCACGGTGCCAAAGCAAACATTTTGGCCGCTAGCTGCCAATTTTCTTCTGCGGTCGTCGTCCCACCCCCGTCCCGGGTACGATTCCCGCCCTAAAGCGCTGACAGATATCATCTCTTCCGCTGATGAAAGTACCGATACCCCCCCCCCCCTCCTCCTCCGAACAAAATACAAAATGTATCTTGATCTGTTGGACAGGATACAGGTCATTCCGCATCATTTCCTTCTATCAAGTAAGACCTTGCCACCAACGGTCAACACGTGCCCGTTAGTCACATAGTCAGATTAATAAGATATTTTGCACTACAACACCCACTGCAACTCGACTACGAGGGAAACCAGAGGAATGTAATCAAAATTCTGACAGACGCCGTCACCACTGTCATCAGAATAACCTGAGCTGACACGTTCATCGATCAATAATGCCCTGTTGTAGCTAGAATTACCTGCACGTTTCATTGAACACATACAAGATAAAGAGTCTTATCCTGTTGTTCAGCTCGCCAGCTTGTGAGACACACCTACGGGCTATTGTAATTCTAAAGTCAGTGTCATTATTACAGGTCGCTGCACAGGGATCAAAATAACGTTTCTACATTATCGATTCTTTACTATATTCTCTGTAAATTTATCAGGTTACTTCCTAATCGAAACCTTCCGTGGTCAATATAGTCATGCTGGTGGGACACGACAACTCCAATTTCTATAATCGTCGAATTTAATAGAATTCCTTATCATGACCGTCAAGCGACGCCATATTAGACATTCGCATTTGGTTGGGATGTCGTAAATATCGTGCTACTTTCTGTCTACGCGCAGCACCCTCATAGTCATACCGTGTTGGGAATAATATATTCTGACGGACTGAATATCACGACAGGATGTTCAAAATGGCAGTCACGTCTACTGCAATCATGTCGCCTGTTCAACTGAACACACCCATTAAAACAAATAACACCGGGGTATTAAGAGAAAGCTGCAGCAGAAGCATGACCAGGAAGGAGATATAGCATTCTCCTAGCGACGTTTTGTATGCTGAAGTGCTACTATATATTAATTCTAGTAAAAGCATCATTCCCTGAGTGTGAGAATTTACTAGTCCCCGGGCGTCTCATACGTCTTGGTCCAAAAGCCATCGTCGAGAACAGGTTGGCAAATGTACAAATGTAAAGCCGAATCCAACTTCAATTCTTCACATTCTACGTTCTAGTATAATAGCTGCCTGACGTCCTGCCATGAAATTCTTATTTTCTGTCTCTATTGAGTCATCATAACTGTAATCTAACACTGTTATATGCACATGTAAAACGTGCAAGAACGGTAGGCTCGCTTATAGAACTGTCACTGTATAGTGTTTATGATCAGCGAAGAATAGTGTCTATATTCAAGAACAGATTGTGACAGCGCCCACATGCATGTTATGTATAGATATGGCATTGCCTGATTGTTCGTGACTTATGGTTCTGAAAACAATGACATCTGCAGACGCACTACGCGGGCATGATGACATCACGTCGCGTCAAAACTGCGTATGTACGGACAATAGAAGAACACCATTACACCTCGCCACATAAACTTCAACAAAGATGAGTCTGTTCGTTCCGGAGTAAAGCAGGTGTGATCCGTCCTGCGGTTGTTGTGACGTTACGGGACATTCCGGACAGGGCGCCCGGCCCGTATACCGTCCCTGACGTCTTCACCCCACACCGCCCCCCTCCCCACCAGATCTGCTCCACTCATCAACTGGAATCACGGGATGCTTCAGGGGATTGTGGATGGAGACGTCTGGGCGGTTTACTGTCAAATCTTGGCTTTCCAACTTAGACTCTAGAATAGTGTGATTGTAGCGAGGTAAGCCCGACCAAAAACTGTAGCCTACCTGACCAAAAACTGCAAAAAAACAACTACACCTCACATACAGGTCCTCCTCAGATATCCCTAATGTTTTTATCCCAACTCGTTACTAACGTATCAAATTTTCTTGTTTACATTCCGCGCTGCACGAGTTGTACACAAATGATTCGAGAAGAAAAGTACGGTTTACACAAATGGGAGTCTTTACAGGTTTTATTATATACACTAATATCTCTAAAACACTGCAATATCATCATAAAGATACAAGATACCCTCCCTAATACGTGACAACCCAGCTGTGAAGCAACAGCGGCTGAGTCCAGACCTCAAGGACAGAATAGGTTTGATATCATGCGAATATTAGAGCTCTTTGATTGATTTCCACGTAATGACATGCTACAAGTTGTGAAAGGAGACCGTCTCAGACGACACTTCGGCTATTAAGTTTTGGAATCTGGCCATGAAAAGCGATAGAAGTATTTATCGTGCGCCTGGGAACTCCGCCAAGTCGTCAGGGGCACAGTTTGTCAAATTATATACGTTGGCTCCTACGTCTAAGTCGAGTGCGTTACCACGATGAAAGAAAAACAAGTAAGATGTTACAAGTAACTTCATTGGAATTTCTCATATTTACCTAAGGTAACTTGCCATCTAATAGAATAAAGTTTTAATTTCGACTTTTTTTAGATAACTGTGCGTGCCTTCGGTCAGTGGGGGTTACGTTTATCGGGTCAAAGTTGACTGACTTTTGCTTGTTTATCTGGATTACCGATTTTCCGAAAGATTAAGTTTCTGAAACAAACCGATGTAGGCTGACACTAGGCTGACACTAGGCTGACGTTGATATATAAAACATAAGCATAATCCTGTGTCTGCCTATTCCAAGAAACATGCACGGTGCCATAACTTCTAAAACCACTTACTAATTTGTGCATGACTGGAACAGATGGGAAAATCGTCAAGGAAAGAAGTATTTCCATGTTTATGTTAACTTTTGTTTTTGCTATGTCAGTGACGGACATGCTAGGTCATCACAGCTGCAATCCACATCAACAGAGGGAGGGCATTTCTGTGGATTGGTTGTAAAATACGTTTTGTTTTTATGTTCTCTTTCCCATCTACTGAAATTATTTCAGATCTTCCATGGTCAGCAAAGCGCTTTCCCAACGATGATTTTCTTTATCTGCCTGAACCCTGGTTACCACTGTTCGTTACGACTACAAGGGAGTGGGCCCGCCATCTTTAAAATCCACACCAGATATTATTGGTGTGTCCACTATCTTGAAATCCATAATGGCGCCTCTGAGACGGGGGGCGAACGACCTTCCCTGGGTTTGACATGTTTCAGACTGCGTCGTTTGTGTAGATAGTTGATTTGGCAGGGTCGCGAACCTGTGCCATAGCGTAAGGATCAAACTAATTAAAACGCGGGACATCTGGCAAGGGTGCCGCCTTTTCGGTGACATGTTCACCCGGAGAATTCTAGAATGGGGCACTGTTTACTACGCATCAGAGTTCTGTAAAACTCCCATCTATCACACTGTACCTAACAACATAACATCCGTACAGAATGTTTGGAAAGGGCCAACTGTGTACGCGTATCGCACGGTGTCTACAAGGACATTATGTTATCTGAGATATTGATAGACACACTTTTACAAAAACATAACATTT